AAGACATCAAGTGATACATCAAAGCATGTGAGACTTGCCAATAAAGCAAGTCTTTGATACAGCCATATGCTGCACCACTCCATCCAAATGAGATCCCACCATCACTATAGACCTATATTTTGGTGGATATGATCACCAGATTGCCAGACTGCAATGGCTATGATGTCATTCTTGTCATAGTTGATTGCTTCTTTAAAGTGATCATTCCAGTCACATGCTCTACCAAATTAATATCAGAAGAATGGGCAAAGATCTTTTAAGATAAGGTATATGCCAAGTATGATATGCCTCAAGTAGTCATCTCAAATAGAGGACTCTAATTTGTCTCCAAATTCTTAGATGACCTCTACAAACTTCTCAACATCAAATGAAATGCATTGACTGCTTACCATCCATAAACAGACAGCCAGATAGAATGAGCCAATCAAGAGGTGGAGAAATATCTCTGTCTTTTCATCAATTACTGGCAGAATAACTGGATAGAATAGTTGACTCTCACTGTCTTTTAACACAACAACTAAGTTTATGCAGCAACTAGCAAAACTCTATTTTTTATTAATCATGGATGACATTCCAATGTTGCTCAGACTAAGCAACATCATATCACAACACCCACATCTACCAACTTTGCCACAACCATAGCAAAGATCTATGACAAGACTAAAACAGCACTTGAAAAGACCACAATAACAATAAAAAAGCAGTATAACAAATACTGCTAGGCTGCCTATGAATATTCAGTCAATAACAAAGTCTGGCTGGATACCACAAATCTACACCTCCTATGACTAAAGCAGAAACTTGCTGATAAATGCATGGGCCCATTCCAAGTCCTCATCAAAATTGGCAAATCTGCCTACAAACTGTGACTTCTAGCAATCTGAAAAATATACAACATCTTTAATGAAACATTATTGACACCATACACTGTGCTGGTATTTCCAAACTAAGAACAACCACTACTTCTGCCATCAGACTTAATTGACAACAAAGAATATTATGAAGTCAATCAAGTATTGGACTATAAACTATGAAAAATCAAAGTAAAAGATGATGGAATAACCACTACAGTTGACTATTTGGTCAGCTGAAAGAGTTACAGACCTGAATCAAATCAATGGGTCAATGAACAGCATATAAATGCCAATAACATAATACATGACTATGAACAGATATTGAACTGATATTCTATTGCTCAATATCTTTATGAATCTTATGAGAAGAAGAGCAGTTATCTGCTCTGTGACAACTGGACTTATCTCTAATTTAAGCCATCAGAATGATGGTCTTAAGGAGAGAGTAATATTACAATTTTTCCTTATTTTTTATCTTTTATTTGAGAGATTAACCCCTATCTTTGATTAGTCAGAGCATCTAGACCAGTGCTTAGGACCATAGAATAGGCTTAGTCATCACAACAATGTCTAGTCAGTCATTGTCCTTCAATGTGACAATAACCACTTCATGACAGACAATATCCTTTTGTAAGTAGCTTCATAACACTGGACAAAACACTCTATAGTGTCAGGACACATAATTAGGTAGTTATATCTTTAGGATAGATGACAACTGGTATATAAGTAGCATAGCTCTCACTGTAATATTCTCAGCTTTGAGCTAAAGTTTATTCACACTACTTCATTCTTGAGCTGATTCTTCAGACCTTGATAGCACACTGATCTGATTCATATCAGTGAACTCTGATGGAACACTCAAATGCAAAGTGACATCAGTTTATCATGTGAATTATATCACATGTGACCTAGATCTAACAGGCTCAAGTGGATAAATTATGCTTGTCAATAAAAGCATAATTGATAGAGCTCCCAGTGCAACCACTGTCAATTAAGGCAGTTACTGCATGTATGGAATGAGATGTGAGTATTTTGATTTGGGCTTTGGTGGTCAAGTCTCATTCCAGTGTCTTCTGATGTCAAATGTATTTCCAGGATCCTCTGAGTTTATCAAGTCACTCTAGAGCTCAGCATTGTTCAGCCTTCTTTATTCCTTTGATCATCTCACTGATCACCTCTTTTGCCTGGATCTTGTGTATCCAATTCTTGAGTACTGCCTTCACTTCTTCCTCAGTTTTTGTATCTTTGATGGCCTGCCAAGTCCATTCAGTGTTGAAGGGCTTGAGCCATCCAGTGGGAGTTGCTCTCTCTGTTCAGCCTGTAGGCAGTTGAGCCTTCATGTTCTGTGATTCTTTTGGTGGTCTTATAGTGGTAGATTTAGGTATATTCAAATGCATGTATGATTTAAATATAGATATAACTACAAAAGTACTATTAGTCTGTCCAGCAGCTGTTTGAGATACACCACTAAGTCCTTTGGCTGATCCAGTGGAATCACTCACTAGTCAGCCCTGTCTTTTACCTCCTCTACTCTCATATTCTTGCCAAGCTCTTTAAGCTCATTGGCTTCCTTCTGTAACTCAGCTATCTGCACTCTGATGTCTTCATGTGTCTGCTTCTTCTTCAGGCAGTCTCATGATAGATGTCCCTTCTGTCTACAGTTAAAGCACTTTCTTTTCTTCTTAAGTTGATCTATATTCATTGGCTTGCCACTCCCAGTGTATGTTGTGCCAGTGCCTGTCTTCTGCATTCTATATGTGGGAGTACTAGAAGACAAGGTGTTGGCTTTGGCCATGCTGGACTGATTGCTGGGCTTTATGTTCTGTGGTTGATAGAGCTTGCAATCATCCTGAAGATTTACTTGTTCTGCCTTCTGTCATTGTCATTTCTTGTATATCTCAGTGATCTGCTCTTTTTATGCATCATATCCTTTTGAAATGTTCATCCCAATATCTGAGATCATCTTGATGTAGGAGGAAGGTGCTCCATGTTTGAGCATCTTGACTATTCTGCCATTATCAGCAATGTTATCCTATATTCCAGCAAGCTTGCCAAGTCATTTCAGCTCATCAAAGTATCTGATGGTGGGCTTGTCCCCCATCTTATACTCCTTCATCTTGCTTTTGTGTACTTTCTGCATAGCTGAGTCAATGAACTTGTTATAGAGAAGTTGCTTAAACATCAGCCAGAAGAGCAGTCAGTGGTGCTGTCTAGTTGTCAAATAGAGGTTAGAGGAGGGCAAGATCCACCAAACCTTAGCTTTATCTTCAAGATAGGTGGAGGCAAAAAAGATCTGATAGATATCAAAAGAGAAGTATACTGAGTATACTTCAAAATATTGCTCATGGTCAATAAGAAAGCAGTCAATATCATCTGATGCACTCTTGAAAGAGCACAGCTCATGAAGTAAATTGGATTGATAGTTAATGATAGTGGTGTCTTATGATAATGCTTCTATCAGGTTCAGGTATTCATTGAATAGTGGTTGCTGCTATTCAGCTGGTGGGCTGAGAAATAAATAGAGTGAGTTGTTGTCTGTGACCAGGCTGTTCAGAGATGGTGCCTCCTTTCATATGATAATCCTATTTTGCACAGTAAATCTAAGTTTTACCACTTCTGAATTGTCTTTCTCAGGAGCCTTTCCACTAGGTTCTGCCTCATCTGGCAGTGGCTGTCTGCCAAGAAGTTGACTTCCTCTGCTGACTTAAGGGTTTTGAAACCCAGTGGTTCAGCTGTAGTGGCCTGTTTTGTGAACCTTTATCTTTGGTTTTAATTTCTGAGGTCTTTCTTTCTGTTTATTATGCTTAGAAGACTTTCTGACAGTCATAAAACCATCTTCAACCTCTGGGTGAGCCTCTGAATGAGGCACATCACCTTCAGGGACTTCTTGATTGATGTCTCAAGTCTGATTCCATGTCTCAAGAGCCTCACATTGTGCCTCAACATCTAATTCAGTGTCATCAATCTCCTGATTGTGGTCAACAAATTTTCCTTTAGCAATGTAAGAGCTGGGTCCAGATGTAGCCATCAGAGTCTGAGATGCAGTACATTGCTCTCAGCTCTTGTCTTCTATCAGCTTGTTCTGATGTTTGGCAAGCATTTCCTGCTGTGCAGTTGTCAAATTCTGTTCAGCCACATCAATGGTAGAAAGCTGTTCCTTCATGAGCTTTCTTCCTTTGTGTAGTCTTCCAAAATCAACTTCATGTTTCTCCAGGTCATCAAGACTCTGAGTACAGCAAAGCCTTGCAGGCTTTGCCATTTTATTGGATTCTTCTGCATCTGTACTACAGGATGCTCTCTCAAAGGTAAAAGATGTAGACAATTCATAATCATTTCCATTATCTACATCACTACAGGACAACTCATTATCTGAAACTTCCATGGTCAGATTTCCCTTGAAACCAACATCCTCCAATTTCTCTGAGTGATTTTAATCCTCTTCCTCTGCTTGTGCATAGGCAAGAGGAAGGTTTCTCAGTGCTGTAGCACCAGACACTGGAACACAGCACACAGCCAGAACAGGGGTAGCATCCTGAGCACTTGCAACACTAGAATGTGACATCCTAGGGAACCAAGAAGTAAAGAGAAAATTAGATATTGGTGTCGAAGTTGGAATGTCCTTGGGTGATCAAGCCACAGGGGATCCAGATATCAACAAAGAGAGATATAGAGAGTTTAGAGAGAAAAGCACAGATGAGAGAGAGAAAAAGATAAAAGCAAAAATTAAGCCAATGGAGCTGTCAAAAATATGAGAGGGTGGCAAAAGTCACTTCTCTCATGAAAGGCTTGTGCAGTCACTGACAGGCATAAAGGCTAGTCGATTGCAAAAACCCCTAGCTACACTACATGTACTGGCTCTTATATATATGGTTGGAATAACAAATATGGGCTAGCCCGGGGAGACGGGGGAAAGAGGAAAAACATCAGGTAAAAGTATCGGGCCATGGAACGACTCGTAACAGGTGCCCAATCTGACGAGATCCCACCATTTGATCATCACTGCTACGTGCTACCTGTCATCTAGCTGCTTCAAGGCACCACTGTGGGGCTGAATGTACTTCTTTGTAGTGCCGAGATCCATGGATAATGCAAGCAGGAAGATCCCTGGGATACAATCCACTGCCGTGTTGATATTCTTCCCCAAGTATGGCTTCTCATATGCGCGCTTTACTCCATGTTCTCCAAGGATCTATCGAAAGAATCGAAAAGGAATGCCAGCGTTCTGGCGTTGAGTTTCCTGTTCTCGATGAGCCTTACATGCCAGACAGCAAATCTATTCGTCTGACGCCGGCTGTACAAGAGGCCTCTATTCCCACAACGGCGACGGCTTATCAGCTAATTGCTGTGGTGCAGCGGCCTCAAATGCACGTTTTCAACGCAGGATGCAGCGTAGTGGTTGATCTTAGTTGCCTTGCTCTCAGTCTGACTGTACCTCCAGTATTATTTGTCTGCTTCGTTGAGAGCTGCGATAGAAACAAACGCTGTCGAAATTCTGCGCGAAGCTGGTCCTAAGGTTGCGGCCTCTCTTATGTTGATGCTTTCCTTTGCTCATTGAGCATGGCCTTTCACTAGGGCTTGCACGTAACGAAAATTGCTGCTCAAAGCAACGTTGACCACATGAAGTTCTGTAAGGTGTCACTTTAGCACAATAATTTCTACCCTCACCGATACTATTTACCGCAAGAATCATGCGTTTTTTGGCCACTCATCACATCTTCAAAGAAATTTCACCCGACGTATACGCTAATAACCGCCTCTCATCCATCTGTGACACTGGTAAACCGGTCGCGGAACTTTTAGACAGGTGCGCAGTCTTCTCGTTTACCGCACATGTAACGCTAACTACCAGCATGTAAAGACCCCTTGAAAAGTATGACGGAACCAACGGAATTGCAGCTTTGATTGGACATTGGTACGACCTTCAGTACGCCTAGGCTCTGAATCGTATCTTTAACTTGTCATATAGTACAGACGAAGATTATAAAGGCGCCGGATACATCACCGAACACCTCACTAATCCTGAGATGGCGTTCGAGGATTCTCCAGAGCGTTCACCCATGATGCAAGCATTTGGGTGCGATGTCGGAGTGTGGAATTGGCTCGAGAAGCCTTCAAATCAGCTGCGGCTGCAGCGATTCGGAGTAGCCATGGATGGCGTCAGTCGCATGCGGCCACAGGATTCTATCCTCAAAGGTACACGCTGTAGTTTGACCTCATCTATCGTGAATTTACAATTTATCACGCTAGGCTTTGATTGGGGTTATCTCCCCAACGATAGCATAGTCGTTGATGTAGGGGGTGGGATTGGTGTTTCCTCTATCACCCTGGTAAAAGCACATCGCCATATCCGATGTATAATCCAAGACATGCCTTCGGTGGTTGCACAAGGGAAGAAGGTCAGTCCGGCAGAGAGTACCCTTCATAAAACTGTCTCAAATTTAGCATGTATACACCATTGCGAGCAAGTATTACCTCATATGCTTGTGTCCAGGAGGATCCAATATATAGGCATGTCCGACTAGCAGTTGCCTCTTGTTCACGGCTCACTAATTGAAATGCTAGAGCATGACTTTTTCCAAGTTCAACGCCAGTTAGATGCCAGCGTCTTTCTTCTCAAGCAGATTACCCATGACTGGTCAGACAAATACGTAACTCGGATCCTTCGGTGATTGCGGGATGCTCCTACAGCTGCTACTAAGTTGGTCCTCATTGACTGCATTATTCTTTACTCGTGCTCGGCTGTGGAGGTTGATATACCTGGTGCAAATTCCCCTGCTCCGCCAGCACCACTGCTTGCCAACATGGGCACCGCCAACGCTTCCCCGTATTTCACCGACCTTTCGATGTACGTGCATTTCACCGGCCAGGACCGAACATTGGCCCATATCGTGGGGTTATTGAATGGGGCTGGTTGGGCTATGGAACGTGTGCATCCAGGTGATAGCATCGGTAATTATCTTCCCCAGATCATCGCGACGCCGGCGTAGTAGAATTGATGCCAGGAGGCGGACTTCTAAGTATAGCACTTACCAGGACAATTGAGAATCGCGAATCGAGGCTCTGGCTGATTGATGCGAAAAGAAAATAAATGTTTCAAAGGGCTGTCTCTCTGCATGGTACCTGACCGAGAGGTCCAGTGTGCGCGCAGGCAGAGCGCGTTGAACTTGGGAACCGAGGTGATTGATGACCTAATCCCACTCCCTCGATATCACCCAACTGCTGGTCCTCATCTCGCTACTACTGGTTCCTGATTGAGTATCAGCTGTTTACGTCCATCAAAGCAACTAGATGCGCTGAACTGGCACCGGGATCACATCAGACGTTCTTACGCACCACTGGATGTGTACTGGATACTCTAGCTATAGGCTCAAGCCTGCTGCCGAGTTTCATTTGCATCACTGGAAGCTATTCTTGTTATCATCTCGGCACCTGCCATTCTGTCTCCTTGTATTTCAACTCCATGAGCAATTTATCTATGATGCCACCGGCTCGTCAAAAAGTTGCAGTCTCACGAAGACTTTTGCATGGATTTCGGGCTGTGCATCTATCTGTATTGTTCCTTGTGGCATACCAGTTTCCATATATCATGTCTCCAGCTGTATGACACGTCTCTTTCAGTGATCATCAGAGATTCGGTGTTCCACAGGTAATTCCGCAACGATTAAGTACTGGTGGATAATTGGCACAGGAGCATTATATAGTGTACTCTGAGGTGTTACTTCTAATATTCGACACAATCATATCTGTTGAATCTTCAAAGAACGCATCACCGCTTCTTGTCTCGACTCCCAAGTCAGTGGCGCGATACTATTTCGAACTCACCAGACTACATAGATTTCCACTGGGAAGTATCGTAGTATTCTGGCCTTGCGGTGAGTATTCCAACTTGAGCTGGACCTCTTTTTTGTACTTATGATGACCTTTGTCCATGAAGCCTGGGCTTTTACTGTTGCAGCATCCACGGTACAGCTGCCAGTCATTCCATTCATCAAGGGTATTATAGCCTTCGCGCTAGGAAATACACCGTGTACAGCAACGCGGGTCACGTTGTAGACCAACCAAATCAGACATTGAAACAATGACACTGCGACGCTTTGCTGATAGAGTTAAATATGTTCACTGCATAAGATACCATTAATGCATGGATGTTTCGCAATGCTTTGGAGACATAAACAGATACAGCTTGAAACAACGCTGCGATTTGCGGTGCTGTGAAGAAAAGATAGCAAGGAGCAATGAGTGATACAGATACATATCCATGAACATAGGTTACATAAGGTATAGATGAAAACATGAAAACATTGTCCGTGTGGTATTCCATATCCTCCTTGTCACACCTCATTAGTCCGAATCTGGGCTTTCGTTGCCCCACCAATAGACGTAGCAACGATAGCCTTCCGAGGCTCCAGCTTATATTTCTGTTTAGCTTTGGCTTTGTGCTTCTTGATTTTCGCCTTGCATTTCTCGCACATCGTACCTTGAACGTTTCCTGGTATTGTCCGATGACACGATTTGTTCGCACACGCTCGCTGCTCGTATTATCAATGGCCATCGTAGATATGAAGAAGACTCTACTCACTGCGGGAAGGGTTCTCGGTCCGGTGTCCTCAGGTGACGGTCCAGGATTCAGCGGGAGATTCTCGACCACAGGTACCACTGGTGCTGTTTGCAGCTCCAAGGAGTCCATAGAAACTTCCTTTACAGCCGGCTCCTTCATGAACCGGTTAGTGAGCGTCGTAGATGATGGGGCTGGGGCACCCCGAGGAACCTGGATAAGTATATGTAGCTCGCCATCCACAGCCTTTCGTTTCCGAATTTTGGCCTGATTTTGATAAAGATGATTATTTCACAGATCACGAGAGGGACAAGGAAACTTACATCTGGATTGTAATAATTGAATGACATATTCTGAGAAGTTGATGTCTGAACAGCTGGATCGATGATGACGGGCGGTTCGGTCGACATTGATGTATAAGGTGATGGTCGAAACACATTGTGGTGCGGATGGGATGGGGGAGACGCCATGGCTACAGTCACCGAGTTTCCCAACCGAGCAGCAGACAGTGTCGGTTGTGTGGAGCTAAAGGAGGCTGGCGGATTTGAGGAGGCAGCAGACTTCGTTCGAGGCGACGACTGTTTAACGTTCGACGTCCTCGCCGAGCTTTGCCGCTGCGACGACGATTGTTGGATCGTTTGAGCGGGAGTTGGAATAAATGGACCCGGGGGCACCGGTGCCGAGACTGACGAAGATCCCGCAACCGAACGAGAGTATGACGGATAGTGGCCCCCGCTATAGGGGGGATAATAACGAGACGGATATGGGTATTGAGAATGAGGCATCGCATAGGGCGGTGGATATGGATACGGGTAAGGATGCATGTATGGCTGAGCATTTGCGTACACAGGAAACTCCCCCGACCCGGTGGGCGTAGGCGGCGGCAGACCGTAGGGATATGGCGGTAGATAATATGGGTAAGGATACTGGGCATGCATCGGAGGGGGGTATGGATAAGGGATAGAATGGGGAGTTTCGGGATGATGCTGTGTCGGCGCAGACGTTGATGCTTTCGGCGGGGGTGCGGACGAAGATGGGGGTGCTGTAGGTGATGTGGAAGCTCCATCCACTTTCTTCCTCTTTTTTCGTGCAGATGCGACGGCGTCATTCGTAGCAGAAGGTATGGGGTCACCGACAATAGCCGTGAAAAGTGGTGCTTCTTTGTCGTTGGTCTAGGTTATGGTGATCCCTTAACGAGTGAAGCTAGTGTGAAAGAGCGAGATTACTTTACCTTCTTCAGTGATCCCTTGGAACCTGGCCTTTCCATGTTAGGACCAGTAGCTGGCCCAGGAGGTGCCGCTGAGATTGAGTCTACCTCATTTACAATGGCTTCAACAGCAACAGGAGCGGACAGCTCGGGATTTGGTTCAACGCCATCTAGGAACAAGCTGCGACTTTCTTCTACATCTGGTGTAAAACAGCCCATAGGACTTTCGTCAACGTTGGCATTCGGCTGATTTACGTTCTCTCCACCATCGATTGACGCATCTCCAGTGCTAGATGAGATAGCCATACCTACATCAATCCCGCTGGTTCCAGCGACTGGAATATGGACGGAGGGCGAATTGGGAGCAGTAGCATCAGTCTGTGCTTGAAGCTGCCAAGCCTTCTCCGCATTCCTCAATTCCTGTTCAACTTCCGCTCGACGACGTGCTTGCAAGGCCTTCCTTTGCACCCTACAGGGATCACACATACGCCACCGAACACCGGGGCCAATGAGATTGTGACAGTCTTTGGACGTGCAGCTATACGATCTCCTCCCCTAAATTGAACGAAGCGGAAGTGTGAGACGTGTAACTGATGTATTACGAGTTCACAAACCTCCTTGTCGGCCATAAACGGAATGTTTGCAGCCTCCGCTTCTGATTCCACGCCAGCATCTTGAATCTTTTCGTCCTCTGGATCTATGCTATCTTCCCTGCCTTGTTCAAATGTCTCACCAATAGAACCCTCTGGAGGTCCGGCAGATTTGACCACCTTTTCCCTGACTCTTTTGAGTTTGCTGTGATGTCTATTCTGGAGTCGGTGTTGCTCACAGCGTTTGAACATATAATGTCCAGGAAGAATCTTGTGACAATGGGAAACAGTACACATTCGGGGAGGAAGAACAGGTAAGGGAGGGAAGAAGTGGTTCACTGCGGTTGCCGTGGGCTGGTCAGTAGGAGTAGATGTGGTTGGGATTAAAGTGGAACCGATGGGTTGTTGGCTCCCAGTTGCTCTGATTAAGGTTGCGGGAGAAAGAGATGAGTACGCCGTCAAGAGAGTTGTGATGTCCTGAGGTACAGTTATCTTTTCGTCGATGATGGACATCTCCCATGTTTGAAGATCTTCCGGAGATTCACTCAAGGGCTATGAAAGCGTAAGTGTTGCGGTAACATTGCAAATAATGCAAGCTTACGGCCAATCCTGCATCCTTGCGCCTTTGATCTTCCACCTCTCTGAGTGTTTCCAGCTCTTGCTCAAATGCAGCACGTTCAGCTTTCCATTTAGCGCGCTTAGTGATACCGTAGGAACGATAACGATTACGACAAGGTTCACACATCTTATACGCGTAAGACCCTAAGCTGATTGTTTAATGGCTAGGAGATTATATTTTGGAATGTGCATACCAGCGATGATAGTTTTGCATCCTTTGACTGAACAAAATCTAGGCGGGAGAGAAGGAGAGCCGTCTTCATTGGTCGCTGGGACTTGAGGTAGTACTATAGAAGGTGCACGACGTTTGCGTTTCTTGGGGGGGCACTGGGGCGGTGGATCACGATAATACGAAGTCCTCTGCTCCAAGGATTCGCCTTCGCTGTATTCGTTGGTGGGGGGCTTGTAGTGAGTACCAGACTTTGTAGGTGCAGGAAGCGTCAGGGCACCAGCCAGCTCAGAGCTTGAACTGTTTGACTGTGACCTGAACAAGCGAGGATCAATGGTACTGGCATCCCAGGAGCTCTCGGTTGCAGATGTGCCAGACTGCGAGAGGGCTTCAGAGGCGAAAGATGTCGCGAATGTCTGTGGCGGTGGATCGATGGGTTCAATTCTCTGGCCGTCGGGCTAGAAAGAATGCAGATATCATCCAGTGTACAGTGTATAGAAGTGCTGACATACCTGACGGTCAGTACGCTCTTCCTCGTTTACGTTTGCATTGCCTGGCATCCAGGCAGTGGACCCCGGAATTTGCTCAATGGGTATGATGGTCTGGCCAGATATTGCTGCCTTTTCGAGCTTCCTCCGTGCGCGTTTGGTCGAGGCGTATATCCTATGCTATTCGTCCAAGGCTTTAGACGACATTACGCTCGTCGCTGGTGGGAAGACACACCTTGCCCCTACATGACTCACACATCTTGTTTGGGGAATTTACATCGAGCATCTGCCCGCATCCTCTGACGGTGCATCGTCGCTGAGCTGGGTATTGTAGTTCCAAGTTGGATTCGAGGGATTCTGAAGGGAATTTATAGCCGTAGAAATCACCAGACTCGTCCATGCCAGACTCGTAGTGACCAGACGAAACAGGATTCCCTTTCCGATTTCGGGGTTGACCAATTCATTGTCAGCATAATACAACTACAAACAGTTGACCGATGTCTACATTTACATTTACACCAAGTTACTTGGGGGGGTAGGTCCTGGTTGAGCCGCGAGCACAGATTCCAAATTTCTAGGCTCTAGAAGCTGGGTTGACGTCTCGCTGCTCTTGAACTCCAAGCGGCGTGATCCAGGCGAGCATGATATCCTGCCAGTCGTCCAGTTAGCCAAGTACAGGAGACTGACCGCTTGGCTACCGAAAATGACTACATCAAAGCTGAGTTACTGGAACGAGCTTCAAGATGAATGATTAGTCCAAAACGATGTCAAATCAAGAGCCCTTTCTTTCGCTCAGTCATCTGTCCACAGAGGATACATTTTCTTACACCAAGGCCAGCAATCCAATCCAACTAAACTGAACATTAATCGGATGGCGGCCGCCACGTATTCCGTGTTAGATCCCAGTCTTCTACGATTACGGTACAACTGTACCGCCACAAATTGATTTCGATCCTGAAATGGTAATTACTGGAGGTTCGATTAGATATATTCTCACAGGTAAAAAGAAAAATAAAATAAAATAAAAAATAACACTTACTGTAATCATGACGCATCTTTCGAGTTAAGGCGATGCAAGCACCGAACGACGATGCCAATACCCTCCACAACATCGCTGATATCCTCTTCCATGACCCTTGACAAGATCGCCGTCATTTTATCGGGATGCCACCGTAATAAAGAATTCCTGATCCGTTCCTTCCTGGTTACAGTGCAGCCTCTCACTGTCAAGTCACCCAGCAAGAGATCTTCAACCTCTTCCATCGACATATCACCTAGCTTCACTGCCATCGGACCCAGATCCTTTGACGATTGAGGACAAGATACGACAGCGATCGGCCAAGGTATATCTGAAAACCGAAGGGGACTGTTGGAAGACACCAGATCCTGCCATCCATTCTCATACGCGTTCCAACGGTTGACCAAGCTTTCCTCCAGATCCCGGAGTTTCAGCTCCTCCCGCATCGCGTTCGTCCTCGCATAGTCCCTGTTTCCATCAGCATCCCTCAGCAAGCCACCGTTCCGCACCCAGTTCTCCTCCCCGCAAAGTGCTTCAGCTTTCTCTGCAGTTCTACGCAGTTCAGCCTCCCGTTTCAGACCTTCCAGATACTCGTTAGAGATCTGCTCATCGTGCGGCGTTTCCTCGTCCATGACTGCAGGTGCAGATGGCGGAGTGAATAAGTTGGCAGCATGAGCTGCTGTCCCTTCTGGAAAAGCGAAATATCCGAGTCTGTGCTGCTGCGAAGACAAAGATGCAGCGGGACGTCGCCGGCCAGGTTCAGTCTGTGGAATCGTCGAAAAGAGAGCTCCAGTTGGCAGCATATATCCTTGGATTTCAGAACCGAAATACGAAGGTGGAGGAGGCGAAAACATGATCAAGCTTCAAAGCCGTAAGAACACTCGAAAGGAGAGAGGCAACGATTAGCACTGCCACTGGGGAGATCGAAAATCATTATGTAACCTGATCCTAGGCTGAGTTCTAATTGCGTGTTGTGGAACACAAGTTGTCTTGAAGTTTTCCCTTAATCACCCATTGGGAATTTAATTGACGAAACACCTCCAATTTACGTGTAGGATCTATCTTCAGTTACAAATATTGAGAACATAAGTAGCCATTTATCGTTGAGGACTACTAAGGATCGGTGCCGAGATCAGCCGAGGCGGCGCTTCTGGGAGTTGCCGGCGGGATAGCAAGCTCTCTCTCCTATCCTTCGAACCACACCATCATGACCGCTCTTGTTCAGAGGCCTCTACGAGGCTCTCGAATCTCTTCCTTCTACCCTGTGAAAACTCTTCCAACGCTCGCTTCTCTCGACAGCGCTTTCCAACTGCAGGAATATATTTCGCTTCTGATTCGCCTGGACGTACACGATGTGGATTCTATCGTCGCCGTACCAGGCAAGATCGGCAGCAAGGAACAAAGCGATGAAGAATCCAAATCTGAGGACAAAGATGGAGACAAGGAACGGAAAGGGGAAGTTGTAGTGGACCAAGCATGTTGGATTTACGAACAGCTACGGTACGGTCTCCGTTGCCTTATGTCTTTACTTTATCCTCAGTCTATACAGTCGTTTGGCACAAGATTTGACCCACCCTCTGATAACGACGCTGCAGCAAGAATGCACACGTTTGACGTGTCCAGAGATGAAGGCTGGAGAATGGTTGTATCTTTGTGTTGCTCATGGTACAGATGGTGCCATGGAGGTCTGTCATCTGGCTTTCCTTCAATTCGTTTTCTGACTCTTACTAGCAATGTTGCGCGATTGATTACATCCTCCACACCTTGGACAGTGCGACTGCACTTCTCAATTCACCACGAGCGTTCCCTTCACGGTAAGACACGACCATATCTATCCTCTATTTGCGTTCTTCAATTGTCATGCAGACTGCACATCGACAAAACCTCCCATCGGCACTTTTCTTCCCTCGCTCGGCGACTAGGCCGAATTTTCTCACACGCATACTTTCATCATCGTGAGGCTTTTGAACAAGCCGAAGCTGAATCCTCATTGTACGCCCGCTTTCTTGCCCTCACGACCAAGTTCGAGCTTGTGCCCGCCGAATTTCAGGTGATACCACCTCGAATATCAGACGCCGATGCTGAAGTTCAACCCCCGCGTCTTATGGCAGCGGGTGTGGATCGCAGTTTAGAGGCAGAGGCAATACACCGAGATGATGTTGAGGAAGATTGGATTACCACAGGAGGCAGGCCAAAGAGCAACAGCCCGCCAGGTTTGAGGAACGAAAGTCCTCGGAAGATTGGACGAAATAGGACAGACACAATGATCTACACTGAGGCGGTTATTGTTGCAGAAGAACTGGCGAAGGAAGAGGAAGCTATTGCCCCCCCGGCTGAAAGACTCCAGAGCTTATCCCCGGAAGCTGTTCACGTCGAAGAACAACAATCACTTGCCGAAGCGCCTACAGAGGAATCAATGTCCCCAGCCAAGCCTTCTCCGCCTGAAACCAAACCCGAACCGCCGTCAGTAGAAGCCGTCCCTTTACCAGCTCCTGATGCTGCAGAAGCGGCTGCACTTTCGGAACCCGAACATACTCTAGCTTCTACCGAACCGAGCGTGACACCTTCGTCAGTCCCACCACGAATTTCCGAGCAAGTAGAGCTCTCTCAGTCAGATTTGCCGATTACCTCTGAACCTCCAGTGGACGTTGGAAAGTCAACTTCCTCATCTACGGGCGAAACCGTTTCACCTCCCTCCGCTGAAGTGTCATTGTCCGCTGAAACTTCAAAAGCAGGTCCTACCGAGGAATCATCCGTGCAGCATAGCCCAGAGGCAGTCGCAGAAGAAGTCGATATTGTCGAAGAACCTATCGAAGTGAAAACTGAGCCATCAGTCGTCGAAACGTCAACAGACTCCGTTAATGTCGCTTCTGAGGCTTCTTCTAAAACCACTGTGGACGAAGTCCCTGTTGATACTGTGCCCGAATCCCTTTCATCCCGTAAGTTTGCTTGACATCGTCGTGGCTTTTGTTTTAATCGTTCTGTTAGATGATTTGAAAACCTCGGAATCAGATTCCAGTTCTGGTGTTCTGGAGACTAATTTAGAGTCCGTGAAGGTGGAGAACGTTGCTTCAAGTGGAGGTGTAACACCGTGATTGTCTGTTTCAATTATGTTTTGCTGATAACTGGTCTTGCGGTGTGCAACAAGGCTGAGAAGTCTTCAGTCTTGCGAAGTCCGATCTTTGAATCTTGTTACTTCAAACATATCAACATCAATACCTTGGACTAATATCGCTCGTCAGCGAGAACCTTTTTCCATAGTAGACGTTTTGCGTCAAATTTCAAGAGGATCAGTCACCTGGGACACGCGCGAAGGTGCCGATCAGTTCATACTCCTCTGTGAGGTGCCGGAGATTTGTGCCCGTTGGCTTTGGGGTTCTATACCCTTCCATTCTAGAGTAGGCATCCGAAAGTCATTGGACATGGAATCCAGCGAGCCGGTGAGTCTCAAGGCTGTTCCTTTGATCGATATATTTCGTGTCCGAAGCTTTGACGCTTCTTCAATGCTTGTCGCCAGTTAACCAACACTGAGACACTAATGCGTCCAGGAACCGGAATACATCTACCGAAAATTGAAGTGATTGATACAATGATACAAGTCTTAAATCACCAACTACCCGGCTCTTAGCACTCAACGCGACAAGGTGTGTCCGATTTTACTGAATACCCATTTCTGCTGATCGTCCCAACGCGATTTATGCAACGGTATCAATTTAAGAGCCCGCAGTGACAATAACCGTAAGCTCTTCCCTCTGCCCAAAGTCCGTCGTTATCAGTTTCCTCACTGTGCGTTAATCTATAATAGATTGGGGCCGCATACCCAATGAGATTGTCGATTGGCACGAACGAAAATAATGTCACAATAAACCTTTGCTTTTCGGATACTGACTGGCCTGGGCTTTGCCGATGCAGCAAACTCGTCGGTGGAGCTTATTGCGTACTCACGAACAGTCGCAACCGAAGGTCAACTTAGAGCCATGCGAACTTGGAAGGGATGATTTAGAGTGATCACGCAGCTTCTTTTGATTTACCACACCCTGCAGCTACGAATTGATACACGATACATTCCTTGCTGAGCCAAGTCTCTGGGTTCTCTCATAATCTAACTCGAGCGAACGTTCCCCCTCCGGAACCGTCGGATTTCTTGTTAATATTCTGATGCAAACGCTCTGGGCCATTTGTTTTCTTGCGGAAGATCGCAACAGGCCAAGGAAGGGACTGAAAGACGTTTGGAGTGCTCAGAGAGCAGCCGGTATTTCTACATGAGGCGTGTAGCCTAAACATCCCTTGTAAATATTGTTTTCTCGCCGCTAATTTGGACTGATGGTTTTCAGTATGCGCTGTCTAATTGACCTGCCAATCCGAATGACTGCGAAGACCATTGGCAAAAAACCATCAATATTCCATATCGATCTAAGTGGTGGTCCGAGTCTCTTCTTCTTAGAGCTCTATACACTTGTTCCTAGTCGGGGGGTCAGCTTGGCCGACATAACCTGGGAACTCGGATGTTGTTTCGCCCATCTCAGAAACACCTAGACGCCCACAAATTTGGCTTCGAAGCCGCCATCCATTTCTCGAGCATCCATCATTCGCACAAGACATTCTATGCTTCGTAGGTGTTCCCAGTCCGCTATCTTCGGGGCGCTTTGTGTTGAGGCAATTTTCAGTGCTGACTGCCGCACACCCACTATCATATGTCTTAGGCACTGGGCTTACCGAGGCTTTACCGGTAGCTTTCTTTAGTAATTTGATTTGACACCCCATGTAGGGAAGATTACTGAAAGTCTATCTCAAATCTAAATATCCCTTCCAAATATCAAACTTCAAGCTTTATGTTCTAACATTCTGAGAATACAACGTGAAAGCAACGGGCTGTTCTTCTATGCTTGTCGATCGATACACGGGATTCAGGCCCTGGTCCCGGATGAATGCTTTCCTGATATGCTCGATAATACCTACGTAACGGAGCTGATTTTTCCGTTTCCTTCCTTCCTTCCGTCTGTAACGCGTGAATGACATATGCAAGAAAATATCAACAGTCGAATTATTATTTTAGGCGAGACATCAATTGCTGCGGCACTAGCCTCGGCAGTATCCAGTTTACAGACTTGCGGGCTCTTCCGAACTGCGTTAGTATCTTGTTCCTCAACGAACGTCGTCCTTGAATGAAGGACATTAGTACGCATTATATCGTCTTTCTATCAACAGACTCTGCAAAGCAGCGATATACTCTCGCACTGGAACTGAAGCTGGCGCCGGCGTGCCCCTGACATTCATTCCTCAAGTCAAAGCCCTTCAGTTACGTTTAGTTCGTTCCTCTCACAAGTGTGTGCTACATTCAAAGAAGCTACTTTTCTTGTGACTCCATTTAGCAGTACCATGTAGCCAGTGCACTGACAAGCTTTCCATCTTATCGCGATGACATTGGCAACACCGCGATCCCGATGCCAGATGGAAGAAATTGACAAAAACAACGTTCACAACTTGTCCACACACTCTCGAGAGATAGACTCCGCTTATGATTAATTGAAGCCGGAGGCAACGTGAGTATCTCCAGTCAAAATGAAGGAACACGCCGTGAGCTACAAGCCTCCCTAGAAGCAACGAGTGAGACTCCAGAAGTCTCTAGCTTGGACTTTTTTGTTAATGTCTAGGTGCCACGCCGACGATATTTCAAACGAAATTCTACGGTACTGTGTTGTCATGTCTACCGCAATATCAAGTCGGAATCTCTCAACGGGCTTTCCAAAGGACACGCGGAAGGAACCATATACGTGCTTCAAACGATGATATTATTCCTCCCACAGGCCTTGATCCCTTCATATGACCCCTGTGGTATAATATCTAAAGTATTGATGGTTTATATTCATCGCAAGGCATCATCTTGCTTGTCAAGGTCTGTTTGCCCTCTTATTTGAATGGGTTAATTGGAATATATTTCCATCACTGCTGGCATTCCTGTCGCGCATCGGATTTGACACAAAAAAATTCAAATTGTCACAATCGGGACCCTAGATTTCTTGCAGACCGTAGAGTCTGGCTCACAACGTTCAACCGACATGTTTGGAATCTTCTGCTTCTCCGGCTGCGCTCGTTTGAATGAAGTGGGATCTACGCGCTCACGTGAAGAAGCATTTTTTAACATTTTCGTGCTTGAATCTTCAGAGTCTTGGGCAGACATGCGTATTTTTCACTGTGTCTTTATACTCTGCCGCCTTTCGTTCCCTATGACTCGTCCATCTTTCCGCTGCGTTCTACTTTTTGTTCTTTTAGCTGCGAGGTCCTATTTTGGTTGTCACGCATATGTTTGCATACGACCGGGTCTTCGTAGGATTGATTTACGCAGCGCACATCTTGGTGCAGGTCTTCTCTCGTGGCCGGGATTTTGATTAGCATACCGTCGTAACGCGTCTTCGACTTGACCACAAAACGCCGGTGAGTGTCGCTGACAGGGCCTAGATATCGCACCGGAAAGATGAACATTTTTGACAAACCTGAATTTTGAGTGCAACTATAACGTATTAAGAGCAACATTCGGGGAACTTTGTGTTTTGGAGGATCTCAATCCCATGCCGCCCGCCAGAGATAAATTTGGGGAGCACACAAATTTTATGTAAAATATCTGCCAAGATCGACAATGTGCACATTTTGGTTTCCCTCAAATTTTCATCTTTCTGGTGTGTATTATATGGTTTCTTGTGAGTTAGATATGTGTACCTCTGTCGCAGTGACAAACCAGCCATCATATACTCTTCGACAACATCTAGCCTGTGCCGGTAGTTCTTGAGAAGCGGCTCTGATGCAAGATCTGTGGACGCCGCAGCTCTCACTCTCGAAGGTCGGCGGCTACTGCCTGAGGTTCCAGTGCCGTCGATCTGCGTTCGTCCACGAGGTATGCATCCGGATAGCATGAGGTCTGTTCATGATAAGGAGGCCATTATAAGTGCTGACAACGGCGGGGAAAAGTGTCTATTTACTCGTCTTGTCCCTCCGCGGCCGACGAAGAGAACCAGGAGTTCCTGACAGGTTCCAACTGTCAACGATAATTCTTCATGACCTTTTGGACACTTGGTATCGACTGGATGTACATTGAATCTCAATGGTTCTTTAATTTTGATAAAATGAAACATAACAACCGCCAACCAATGAAGGTAACCATAGACGCAACTGCGGGCGTTTGCTCCGAAAGAAGCATTTTTGAAATTAGAAGCCTTCTGCCTGTTCATTTGAAGTATTTGCCTAATCTCAGGTGCTCTGAGAAATAGTAGGGCTGTCGGGTCAGCAAGGCTGTTCATTTTTCCAAAGGTCCATATTGGACGGCCGCTCAAGTGTTCTAAAATCGATCTTATTTTCTTACGGACTTTACATATTACTAACGTTCAATCTATTTATTGGTTGACTAGTCTAGTGGTTATAATTTCTGTCTTACGTGTCTGTTGAGCAATACGTACACAGAAGGTCACAAGTTCGATCCCCTGTGTTAGCCATTTTTTTTTCTTTTCGGCACTCGTCGTTTGTAGCGGAGCAAGGACCGTAGAATGTAAAAATATTACATACGTAACAACAACATCAATCACCTGAGTAATGGAAGTAGCGATGATAAGCGCTCAGCACGTCGGATACATCTTCGAGGACACGATTGTACGTATGCCGGTGGTCGCAGATCTAGTCGTGGCGGAGAGCAAGGGACCGGCTGTCGGTGCGTGCCTGCGCTTCGTCGCGCACAGGCGCCGCGTCGTTTGAGTGTGTGACCAGGACCCGTGAGCTTGGCGCGGTATCCAAAACGGTAATAGATACCCAGAGAAATGAATTCGTCGACAAGTATTTGGCCATGTTGTGTGTCCAATTTAAATTATCCGCATCCGTATGCAGCAGCTAAATCGGTGCGAATCTGTCAAGGTCCAAATGGATCTGAGGGAAAAAAAACATTCAAAAGGAGGGTGCCGGACGATTCGAAAATTCCACCCTAGACTTGACTTTGGGCCCACTGTCATTCTCAGTTACCTACCATGGACATCGCCCGTACCGACTCTCCCATTCAGGGCTTCCCGACAGCCCCCTCACCCTCGCCTAACCCGCTCGTCCTACCCTCGCCCGACTGGGTACGCGCTCTTGCCATCCAGACACCCGACCATCCAGATCCCGACGCGCCTGACGATGTCCTAGGCATCGAGGCAGAGGCTGATCTCGTCTCCCTTGTTCACCATCTTTCTTTCCCGTCCCACTGGGATGATGCTACCGCATATTCTCCCACACTTTCAAGTCGCATATCGACCGACTCGCTGCTTACCATCGCCCATTCCCCTTCCTCTGCCGCCAGCAGCTCGCATACTCTTGTCAAAACACGCTCCTTCGCATCGCTGAGACTGTCGCTTAACGGTAAACGGGAAGCCGTGTACATCGTTGAGGATGATGATGACGACGACGACGATGGAATGGATACAGTGGAAGACTTTACTGGTGGATGGGCGTACAGCTGCGAGGAAGAGCTACCGCCGTCGCGGTTTTCAATCGATGAAGACGACTATATACCGTCGCCACAGCCGACCTCACCCATCTCGACGCGATTTAGCGTCAGGCCAATATGGCCCGTGCGGTCGCGTGCGGTCTCATTTTCCACGCATCCACCGCCCCCGCCATCGATGCCGCCGTCACTGCCACCATCCCCTTCGGCACTGGTGTTGAAGAAAAGCAAACGCAAAACAACGCTCAGCGTCCTCAGCAATATTCACCTCGGCATGTTTTCCTTCTAGATTGTATATTTTATTGCATCCGGATCGCTTTTCTTGTTTACTTACTGGACTATGCACGCTCCTTGTCGCTTTGCCGAACATGCACACTCATTTGGATACGACCACGCTCTTTGCTTTATCTCTCTCATCTTACGCATACATTGGCTTTTGTTACTGTACCGCATCCCGTTCCGTATGTATTCATATGTATTCTAGTACTGATATTAGACTTGGTCCAAAAACATTTTACAAGCACCATAGTGACTTGTTTCAAGACTGATTTCCGTTTTTTCTCCTATGATCAGTATTTCTTACGGCAATAATGCATCATGCACTGATGGTGCCTCTTCTTCAATATGGGGAGTAGCACGGCCGATGTCGTACGCCCAAACGTATACCTGGCAACCCTCATGCAACGGGACCTGACCTCAGGCCGTTCAAGTTCAATTGCATTCTGCCAGCATCCTCTTACCTTTCGTACGTTTAGACAAGAAAATACGTGGGAACGGTAAGTACGTGTTGTATGCTAGGGTCAATTCTGATTTATATAACATGTGTCGTCAACTGTACACAACCGCTCAATCTTTCTGCCTGGACCGTAGCTTCCGCCGCACTTCGGCATCCTAGTTGTTCAAAAATTCGGTCTCCACTTTTGTGTGTACTTCAACTTTCCTCTTTGGTGGAACCTAGAAAGTGTAATAAGAGCGTCTGGATACTGCTCACATTGTACTGCTATTTCATACGCTTGTGTTCTGGACTGCGCCGGCTTCCAGCTTCCTTGTGGCGCAATCGATATCAAGTATCCAGCGCTTGAATTTCACCGCATTTCAAAAACATAATGAGCTTTCTCAAAATTGTCCGCTTCCCGTTCTTTTGACGCTGGCGCTGAATACCGCAATATATCGTACGAATCCAATAATCAAACTCTGGCACTTGGACTACATCTCTCTGACTTCAGAACACCAGTTTCTGATGTAGCATTGCCTAACTACCACCGTGCTCTCATTCCACCGGCCCTCGTAGAGGATTCGCAGGCACACCGTTGTGGCCTGTGAATCATTGATGACTTTCGGTGACACTTGTAGATGTCGATTGTCCGAAGCCAAAGCCCGATGATGTGTGATAAGCGATGGCAAAAGCCGCATTCACTGTCGTCCCTCTGCCTCCACACCTCCACCGAAACATTTGCTGTCCTACTGTGAAATGATAACCCTAATGTCCGACGTTTGCTGTGCATACATTCTCCACAGTGGCCATCCGTGCACCGTACAGAACTGTAAATCTTTGTATGTTGTCTAGACCTGTGGCGAAAAACTTCCGACCTCTCAATGACATTTCGGGCGAAGGGTATGTTCGGAATACAATAAACTGCGTTTCTGTCATGCTGCGTCGCTTCTTTGGGCTCCTCAAGCCGGAGACAATATGTATGCGATGAACCGCATCCTTAGTCCTAGGTCCGTGCTTACTTTAGAGTTGGACATCTCTTTTTTTCCCCACACGCATGTGTGTTCTTGCTCTCCGCTACCCAATCTCCCACACTGGGGATCGTATTCCTGGTTCGGAACAACGATCGCTCCTTCACTGCGCCGAGTCGCGGGTACTTGCTCTGAACAGACTGCGGCCGTGCAAGATATACATAACCAGGTACTAAAAGCCGAGACTTTCGATTTCTTGCAGTCCCCGACGGTTCGATAGTAAAACTCTAACAATGACTGCCGAAAAGTTAAGACTTTCGGTTTCAGGCTCCTGCTCGCTTTCGCTATATGTTCTTTGTGGCGGTATCACGCGCAGGAATCATCTGCTTCTCTTTCAGAACATGGATCGTACCATACGCTTCTATCAACGGACATCGGTTGAAGGGAAAGCAAGCCGGTACGGAGTGATGATCTGATAGTTTTTCAGCTTCGTTATGGTTCCCACTTATGGTTCCATCTTTAGCTTGCGGCGTTCATGACATACGGAACTAAAGATGTCTTTTTCATCCTTCGTCATCGAGCCTGATATGCGGTCGGAAGTGCGTCCCGACTATCTGACTATCTTTTGTCCTCATATGTTCTATTCGCAGCTCCCAAGGTTGAGATATAAGCAGAGCACAAAAATGCGCGTCCGGAGATCACGATGTTCATCGAAGCACAGTTGTCTGCATTCAATTTTAAGGTATCTACTTCTCATATACAACTTTATCGACAAGAACTGCCAAGACTAGGAACTTAATTTTCCCCGCCGCTGATGCTGGTAGGAAGTGTAAGTGCTCCGCGACTATGCTCAGAATTGGAATATCTCCGAGTCCTTCCTTGGCTCTTACTGGCGACATTATAGATATCTCTCTGAGATCCAATTTGCCTTTCGAGCCTGACCTGCTAACATGGTTTTAAGCATCAGGATCATAGAAACATGTGGACACTCCCCCGACCGGTACCGAGCATGTAAACCGTTCTTCCGACTGGCTCTCTGACAAAGTGTCTCTTACTGGGGAAGTCTGTATCGGGACGGAAACAGCCGCAATCAAGTAGAATATCATAGCTCTCTCCAGCCGACTGCCTGGGTGCTCTCTTCAGCCTTGGACTCGGTAACCGTACCCGTCGCATGTACTATTTGTGCAGTACATGTTACCAATTCCCTCGGTCCTCTGTGATCGCAGATATCGTCCCCCATTTACTCGAAGGTCTGATTTCATGATGTCGTTTGGAGATGAGGTGAAATAACTTTTCATCATCGACGGTACCGTTCTGAACGAGTAATAGGTTGTACATGTAATGCCTTGGATGTGGCTCAACATGATCTTATTAGCCGATGTAAGGTTGCGCCTTTTGGTTAGTCAAAATCTCAATTATGTAACCTCCTCTCTATCCGTCTCTATACTCGCAGGTTATGAATAGATGAAAAAACGAAAGATGAGTTGTTGAGTTGTTGTATTGTAGGATACTAGCAACGAAAAGCTCGGACGCGAAGACGTTGTACGCTTTGCAGGTATTCATAGCACGATATATCCTAGGGTAGGCTCAGACTTGACAGAACATCTATATGATTGCTGCGGATCGAAGACAATCTTGAATTAGGGGCGCATCGATAATACCTACGATGATTCATGGCCGCGCGTTTTTTCCAGTGAGACTGGATCATTGCTTACGGCGCCTTTTTCCAATTCCTGCAGATGGGATACCGATGAAACAGATGTACTTGAGCTCGTACCTAAGGCTGTATCACGATAGACATGACGGGAAAAGGCATTCACATCATCCGCGACTACAGGAGGAAGTACAAACCTTAACCCAGATTTGGTAAAGTTGAATTGAATCATCCCCAGTATTCCAGCGTTACCGTAAGTAGTTCTACGTAGCGGCACCAATGGCCTGAGAGGTAAATTCAGAACGCGGAGCAAGAATGGGCGCTGAGAGTTACTTACTGATGCCAATTTACCACCTTGTGCTGGTGGGAGCAGTCAATTTTGAAAGTCGGATGCGGCCGCTTTGCTAATGAAATTGGAGGAGTAAAATTGTTATTGAGAATTATGATAGAAGATACGAATTTTTGCTCCGTCATCGATCAAGGTGGTACGGAATCCCGCTTATACAGAGAGGCGGGAAGAACGCAGAGAGAAGGTCAGTCTTCGATTGATGGAGCCTATTGAAGAGGTCAAAAATAAATTGTCGAAAATGCCGATGACACTGAAGCCACAGCTAACCTTGATTCATCGGTATCGCAAAGACGTTAACGTTGATCCCTTCCAGTTTGTCTCGTATACAAAAAGAGACCCTGGCCGAAGCGTTTGACGACATTACCGCCAACACGTCGAGGCGTGCGATGCTTGTGGATGCTGACACTGCAAGTCGCGTTCTAAGAGCACCTCTGCACAAGGTGCTTGTTTCCAGAAGTTAAGCTTAAAGGACAGCATTAATCTATTCCACAGCAATTATATGAAAGTCCGGCAATCTCCGTTACAGATGGCCCTAACTCCACGAGAATAAGGGAATATTTGATTCTCCACGCAATCGGCAGCCGCCCCTAACGTTGTACGACTGGACTGCTCAAGAGTTTGTTGCAGCTTTAATGTAGAAATCAGTCTGAGTAGTAAACAGATACGGTATGTTATAATTAAGAGGAGGTTATAATAGATGCCATGCAACATTAGATATTGTTTTTCGCTTTGCCGGTACCTCCGAGTCAGGAGGTTGGTAATAGTCCGGACCGGTGAGAGTCGCATATGATGCTAGTTGGAAAGAAAGAAGAAAAAAAAGACAAGACGCACCTTAGCAACAGGTCACTGAGTTGGGTCGATTTAAGAACATTAAAGGTAGCGGCCGGTCTTGGGGCGTCACTCAGTTTTGGATCGGTCCGACCTCCGGGACGCGCGTTCCTCGATTCCAGTGTTCCGACGTCTCTCTTTGCAGCATAGGAACACACGCTTCTTAGTACTGATGCAGTACTGCCTTTATAACTCTGGCTCAATTCTTGTTTTGCTCGAGAGGTCCGCTCTCACCAAAGTTCCTCAACTTAACGTGGTCTCTTCTCGCAAACATATTGAATTTAAATAAATCGACTGTATCAAAGGCTATACTAGAGTGACGTCGACATCATAGGACGACCGAAGGCCGACGCGTTGCAGACCGTGCCTCATGACCGTTAGTGACACCATCGGCGGTGCTGTTGATTTCTTCCATCTTGTGGCAGAGGAATTTGGACCGTTGATAGCATCGTAACGTCATCTTCCTCGTAACATTATGTTCCTCGTACTGATGGCGCATCGAACCCTAGTTTACCCTCGTTCAATACCCGCTTCGGACGTTCCACTTCATGTTTGACTGGCTCTTGCAACGTCCATACCATCATGCGGTGTCAGGGGCAATACGCCTGCTACACAACATAATCGACATGAGAGCTGATGTCATTAATCAGGACTGTTTTTCCTGGGAGCCATATGGCGGCGATAACAAAGAATTGAGCCCTATGACTGTGGGTACAGCATGTACGATTTTGATAACTGAAGAGCATTTACGTCCCTATCGTAAAGAAATCATCCGCTTTCACAGCGCCCGTCCAACGGCTTCACTCGTCCGCATATGAGACAACTGACATGTGTATCCGCTATTGCGTGATGTAAGGAATCTACTCTTGAATTCCGTGTTTGCATCTTATCCAGATCACTGTTCAGCTGGGTAAGCAATACTTCGTTATATCGTCTTAGCTTGGAGTATGTCCCAATATCCGGTATCGTTATCTTGGAAAATAATTCACATCTGCAAGATAGTCCACGACTAAAATATGAAAACAGAAGCATACCGCGAGAAGGCAAAGACCAGAAACTGATCAAGAACACCTAGCTAAACGAGAGGTGATCTTGTCATTAGTAGAAAAGTTCAATCTGACGAACGGTAGCACAAAGCAATCTTGTCCAAGCCAGCAGCAGTTGCGTTGTTCCTTGTGATCTAGTCGTCAAATTATTGTGAACCATGGTCTTCTTGCCGCTGTACTGGAACCTAGCATGCCGTGAACAAAGAGATTATAGCCCTGCTCGCCGGAAAACTTGATTCGATTAGGCAGTCGTACGATGGGCTTGTAAATCCATAAAGAGAGTAGTTTTGTGCTACCAGGGACGAGACAAGCTGGTCCGCTGACAAAATCCAGGACATCGTGAGGTCTGTAGCATTTCGGTGAAGATAGGAACTTTGTAGGATTGTATGGATAAATTTGGTGGGAGCCATGGAAGATGTATAGTCACCGAGCCCTCAGATAGGCATCTGTTTTTCGTCCATCAAAATAAGCAAGAAAAATGACCGAAATAGAGATAAGTCTTTGCTCAGAGCAAGATCCATTGGGGTTCCCGGCTATGGTGGACTGTTTGGCCGTGCCTAAACAAATGGTATCTGTTAATTGACAGCTGTTGCCAGAACCAAAATAGCTGCTAACCAGGAGCGATTGTGAATCTCGTTCAGAAGTCACTGAAGTGGGAACATCAACCCTAGTGAGGAAACAGTACTGACTGTTGGTTGCACCAAGTATGTCATCATCAAGGCCACGCACGACCGGCGTCAAGAACATGTTCTTCCGGGCCAGAACTTGGTCTGTCTCGAATTCTTCGCAGTGACATTCGGGGTCACCATCAAAGATAGAGAGAAGTCTAGCACCAATTGAGCCTGAAAACAATCAGAGTACGAACGTAAGTTATTTGCGAGATCCCCAAAGGAATTGAGATGGCGATATGTCGTAAACGTGACGTCTTCTCAAACTCTCATGATCAATGACGGAAGATGAAGGTTTCAGACCTGGTACATAATACAACGATAGTTCAACGTACCGTCGCGGGAACATCGCGAGCATACGTATCATTTCCCATTCCAATTCTCAGCATAGGTTCGACTTATCGTTAACTTGACGTTGCTAGGTGACATTCATACTGCACGAGGTTGTGAGTCAAAATGGAAAAGGTGGGAAAAGATTCTTCTCACCGTAGTTATCATCAAGTACAACCTTTGCCCTAGTTTCACCTCCGTCAAGCCTGATCCAAGTATCCACACCGTCCTTAGGATCCGTTGACGTGAATACTAGATTGCGAATGCCAAAGCCCCACGAATATTCCCCATAGCCACCATATCTGCAGCTTCGTCAGTTCGTCAGAGTGACATTAATCAGGCACACAGTACCCAGAGTGCTTGTTAAAGCAAAATATAACTTTCTTATCCGTCTCCCGAGAACACCATTCGTTTCCGTGGTCTACGATGTACCAGTAAGTTGATGGTCTCAGAGTAACGGTTCACTATTACTCACCATGACCAGAAATCACAGCATGAAGATTCTTGACATATTTGTTCAAAGCATTCCAGAACGGCTCGTCTTTGCCAGCATCTGAATCCTGGGTGCTAGCCTGTGTGCTACCTCGTCCCAGAGTATCCTCTGTATGGAAGAATTAAGCTTCAAGACTGTAAATGTTGGCAAAGACATGCCATTGAGCCCAGGATTTGAAGTATGGTTCAATGTCGACTGAAGTGACTGGACGACACGCCTGAATTGGAAAGTGTAAGTAGAAATAACTGAAGCTCAGGAAGACCCACGGTGGAATATGGACAAATGCTAATGCTCCTCGACTCTCTGCAGGACCCCAGTCTTCTTCCATTAAAGTGCTTTCGCTCTCAATCCACTCCGCAACGGTGGAATCGACCCAGTCAGGCACGGATGTCGAATTCTCACCGGGCGAAAATCCACCTAATGACCTTAGCGAGGATTTCAGGACAACAAATCGTTATTTACCTCGAGAGTCGAAGAACCATAGAATCAAGACAGGATAATGATCTGTCAAACGCACAACATGGCACTCTAATAGTCGTATGAAGAGTGTATAATCCCACCTTCTTCGTTCGCATATACCTTAGATTGAAGTAAGACGAACTTTCTTCAAGACAGGCATCTTCGACTCACCGGGACCCAATAATTACCTGGACCACCCTCTCCTCCCACTCCGGGTGGCGCAGAACGAGTGTAACTAAAGGAGCTAACTTGCCGTTCGCGAATGATCTCCTCAAGATGGGTTATGTTGACTTGATTATCATGATTCTTTCGAGCTTCAGGATCAGTGCCCACACATAAATTGATAAAAGAAAACTGACGCCATGAGAGGAAGCAAAGGGAACGCGAAACTCGTCGAAAGGGGCCACAATTTGGTCTACAAGTTTTGTAGAATTTTCTCTGAACGTATCTGATCATTCATGGGATCATACATTCTGAAAAGCGCGAACAGAGTACTGACTTTCACCCGTAATCAAATCGCCATTGATCACACTGTGTGACAGTTCTCGTTTCAACTGCTGATCAGTATGGTGATAATACTATGGACTCACGCAAAATCGGGATTCTCCTCTGGCAGGACTATCCTCATGAGCCGGGTACTATTGGCATCTTGTTCAGGACCCCAAATTGTTTCAGGGCCCTCTCCAAAGTGAAAATCTGAGAATACAGTAATCTTGAAGGTCCCATCCCGGCGGAAAGTAATACGTGGCATGTCGGGATATGGGTTCAAGTTCCCGCCCGTCCGAATATTGCTTAGGGAGGCTTGGTTATGCTTTGCCGCTGCTGAAATCAGAGATCAGAGGTAGTGAATGGCCTAGATAACGGAGCTTTCAACTGATAGGAACGGCATGTACAAGCTGCATCAACAAGAAAATCGTGGTCATGAACACCGTCATCAAGTGGATGCTGCAGGCGGTTGAATCGTTGGACATCACAGGTGGAAAATCGACAAGATATGCGAGCGAGTGGAGCTTCGTGACAGATGTGTGCGTTGCTGAGCGACAATTGTGGCGTCAAAGTCACCCTAACTGCAACAATAGCAGATAGATCAACTGTATTTCGTACTTGGCGAAGAAAAAAATACGAGAAGAGTAACAGACTTTTGAAAACGAACACACTAGTGGGTTGGCAAGTACAGTCACGGTGAAGCGTAATTGCCATTACGGAGATGCGGACCGACTGAACCGGTGGCAGTGCACTTTTTTGTTTTCTGTTTTATGCTTCATCCGACATCAGTCGTCCTGACCTTGGTGCGTAACCAGTCGAATGATCTCGAAGAGTCGATTTATCCTCGTCTTTGTCATCCTCCGAATGAGCGTGTTCGTAGTCTTAATTCTTACTCTCACGAGTCCTGACAAGCCACAGCAGCTTCTTTGCTCTCCAGTAACAGTAACGAACGAACGTAACTCTGCTTTACTCTCTATTTTAAATAAATGGCCTTACAGCTGACCTATTAGCATCTTCTCGAATAGTGACATATATACGCTTTCACTTTCTTCGACCACAGGCTCGTTGCTCACTGTGGGCCTAATATTCTCTCTCGCCGCAACTAGCCGGCATCGTTCTATCTATCATGAAATTACGAAAAAATCATCCCCGCAGAAACAATGCGCCGTTGCCCCCCCAAACCCCTCAACCGTCGGCACCTCAGAAGACATCGGAGAGTGTAATATTGCCCTCATATGAGGCATCTCCTATGCCATCGCGGCGGTCGAGTACTGTGTCTACAGGTGACCTTCCGTCTAAAGCAGAGCTCATGAGAGGAATGATGCGCAATCCCTATGTAAACCGACAGTCGATGGCGGCTCGAACTTTACAGCAGGCTAACGAAGCCACAAAGTTGAATATTCCGGAGAAGCCGTCTTACACAAGATCCTTATCCCTGGACGCAACCATTACCACGCACTCTAATTCCCTGGGCCCGCCACGCTTGAGGGAATCTCTTAAATGTACTACGGTCAATGTCTCTTCAGAGGCAAAATTGCCACGATCCAAGGTGCCAGAAAAGACGCGGAAACCCTCGCTGTTGGTCGTTCCAAAAGAGGTTCATATCCCCCAAGAGCTTCCCCGTCGTCTTGGAGCAAATGGCTCGAAATTCGTCGAGTCAATTTGCGACGAAGTCTGTGGCTGAACATTTACTAAGGTAGACCCAATATCATTCTTTCTGGATATCCCAAGGCTGACATAGCTGAAGGTGGGAATACAGCTCTCCATGAGATCAGTTTATCGGGGTAGTGGGGAACGTAAGTCATTACATACTTGGTGATATGGACGTTCGAGCAAACAGATCAAGCAGTTTGGTATTCGATTATTTATCCAAAGCCCGACGAATTGACCTATTCGATCTATTGCTGTTCTTGTCGCAACCCCGTCGACCGTACAATCCGTGTCCGTCTCATCATCGAGCCAGGGGGGACACTGTTTTATTCCATCAGTATCTACCGTGGAGAGACGAACGCAGATCCGCGTTCGATTTATCGTCACAACCTCTCCAGGGTTATTCGGGG